TTCAGAAGTTTGAGATGAAGAGATTATACTGGATTATCTGCGTGGGCCCTATGGAATTACAAAGGCCCTTGTAAGAGGGATGTGGGAGTAGTGAAAATCAGAGAAAATGGCGTGTGCATGGAAGCAGAGATGTGTTTTCAAATGTAGAGTGAGGCCCCCAGCCCAGGAATACAAGTAGGCAGAAGTGTTTTCACTTCTGGAAACAGATTCTCCATCAGAACCACCGACAGGAACCAGCTCAGACGCTACCTTGACTTTTGCTCAGTGAAACTGATAATGGACTGACCTTCAGAACTAAAGACAATAAATGTGTACTGTGCTAAGCCCTAAGTTTGTGGTAATTTGGTATGTCAGCAATAGGAAACTGATACAGCTGGGATGAGTTAGCATGTGGCTGCAACTGCTGATGGTTGAGAATATTTGTTCTTTCCTTCTAAAGAAACAGAACTTTGGGCCAGTCTAAGCATGGTGGTTGAGGCGACTGGACCCACATGGCCCGAACTGGGTTGTTTGAGTCTCAGACCCAGGAGCTTGAGAAACCTGGCAGGCTGCTGTGCATGCATTCCCAAAATCCTGAAAGAAGGAGAAATGGAGGAGAAGGGATTGTGGTGTGGCCATCTTTAATGGGGGTGCTTTCTCACTCCCCCCACAACACACACACCTCTTTTATTTGTTTTGTTTTGTCTCTCTCTGGTGAGCACACACACCCTCTGGCAAATTAAGCAGGGAAAAAAAAATAAAGTGTACCTTTAAAAGAAAAAAAGGAGGGTCAGGCAGGTGGTGTTGTAAATTAGGCAGCTGGATCCTACATGGCTAACTGCTTAGTTCAAGTCCTGGACCTAGCAGCTTGGGAAACATACCAGGCATAGGTGTGTGCATGAGTGCCTAAAATTCCAAGAGGAGACTAAAGGAGAAGGGATTGCGGCATGACCATCCTTGCAGAGAAGGGGGTGCTTTCTCACTTTCTCTCTTTCTCTCTCCTCAGAGTGCACTTAAAGCAAATTTAAATAGATATGTTGGGGGCCAGCAGGTGGTGTGGTGGTTAAGGGTGCTGGACTCCCACGTGGCCGACCACAGTTCAAGACTCGGACCTGGCAGCGGCTTTCTCACTTTCTCTCTCTCTCTTTCTTTGGTCAAATCAAAAATTAAGAGAGTTAAATAAATAATTCTAAAAAAAAATAGATATTTTAAGAAAAGGGAAAAAAGGAAATGGAACTTTGTATATAGGCAAAAAGCTGCTCAGGGTAAAGATTATATTGCTCAGCATATGACTACATGCTGTCTCATGGGACTGGAGCAGAAATGATGTGACAACTTCTGAGTCATGCGATTTAGAGGAAAGGGCACGCCACCTCCCTCACTTTTCTGCCTTTGAAAGGGCTGCACTGTGGCAAGGGTGGTGAGCCATGATGGACCACGTGGATGAAGTAATGTCCTAGGGATGAAACTGCAACAAAATAAGAAGAACCTTGGTCCTCATGACTTCCTGGAAAGGCCCACCATACTAACTTGGACTTTTATCTAAGAAAGAAAGGAACTCCCATCTGGTCTAAGCCGTAGGAAGTTCAGGTCTGTGTCATGCTGCTGGGCCAAAGACAAGCTACTACCTTTGTGTCAAGGCTGTGTGGAAGGGTGGGCATCCCCGAAATGATGGCAAGTTGGGGCTTTATTTACTTACTTATTTTTAACTTTTCGCTATAGGGCACGTGTACTCCCTGGAGACAGACAGAGACAGGGCAGGGGCTTGGGCAGAGAAATCACCCCACAGGGGGATGGCCATTCCCCAATCTTTTCTCCTCCATTCTCCTCTCAGGATTTTGGGCATCCACACACATGTGCCCGGCATGTTTTTCAAACCACCAGGTCCAGGACTTGAACTTTGCAGTCGGCCACATGGGATCCAGACACCTTAACCTCCACACCATCTTTTGGCCCTGGGCTTTATTTCAATCCTTTCTTCCTTTCTGGACAGCTCCTCTGCAATGGTGCCATTGTAGTCTGAGGATATATGTGAGACTGACATTCACTAGGCACCCTGCTGTTACAAGGTCTGGGGTCCCATCCTCCTGGGAAGTTTTTCTAGTTTCCATGAGAAGCTGCCACTAAATGGCACAAGCCAGTGGCGTGGTGGTTAAGGGTGCTGGACTCCCACGTGGCCGACCGTGTTCCAAGTCCCAAATCTGGCAGCTTGCTTTCTCACTTTCCCTCTCTTTCTCTCTCTCACTTCGTCCCTTTTGGGTCAAATTGAAATGGGTAAATAAAGTTAGGGACCAGCAGTTGATGTAATGGCTATGTCTCTGGACTCCCATGTAGTCGACCCTGGTTCGAGTCCTGGACTCCGTGCTCAAACTCACATCGAGTGCATGTAAAACTCCTGGTGCATGGGTCAACTTGCCTACCCCAGGTCATCCAAACTTGTCACTCAAAAACCCTGGTTCAGAAACCCTCATGTTTCCCACAGCCCACAAGAAAAAATTCAAACTGCTGAGCCCAGCATTAGAGGCCTCACCTGGGCATCTAGCCACCTCTTCCAGGAGGTTCTGGATGTCTTCCTGGGTGAGACAAGTGAGCTGTCTCTCCGGGGTTGCACGGCTCTGCTTGACCAAGAGGAAGGCACACGTTGTACATGGGCACCCAGCTGCATAGACGTGGCACAGTGGATGCCAAAAGTCGCCCTCAGATCCCAGTAGGCCCCACACTCTGTGGTTTTATTCAGAGGACAGAGGGAATGGACAAAGGCGGCCAACGGGACAGGATTCCTTTGGAGACACAGGTCTTACGAGTAAGGGATAGAATCAGGAAAGCTGAGGACCTCTATTCCAAATCAGTCTTGTATTGCGGCAGGATTCGCCATCCTTATAGCTTCCGCATTGCGTAGACTTCTCAATTGTGTTTGCACGCTTCTGAGAATAAGGAGCTCTTTCTTGTAAAATCGCCTCTTTGGGAGTTGTGAGCATGCCCCTGGGGCTCTGAAATCCAATCACTTTCAGGTGCGCCGGCAGACTAGCTGAAGCCCCGCCCACATCAGTTTCCTAGGTCTAAGTATTGTTCAACATTGGGGCGGAGAGTCACGTCTTCTGGATACCCTACCAACCAATCGCATTGCTTTTCAGAGACAACGTTTAGGTCCGCTGGCCAATCACTTTCTAGATGCTATTAAGACCCTGCCTTAGCCACGCCTACACACTGCACAACAAGCTGCAGGCGCTCTGGGACGCTGTGCAGGTGCTTTGCAACTGTCACTCTAAGGCCACCGGTAGGCGCTGCAAGCGGTCCACCAGCCAAAGATGGGCTCAGGCAAAGATCAACTAGGCCAGGCCTTGGGCCCAATCCTGCCCTCCTGCTCCGCCCCCAGCCTGGTCCAGGGCGGGCCTAGAGTGCACAAGCTTGTCCCCCCCCATTTAGCCCTCCTGCGACTCAGGCATCCACGTGTGTGCGGCGGCACGGTGCGGAGCCAGCAGCAGCAGCGACAGCAAGTTCACAGAGGCCAGTGGGATAGAAACTGGGATGGAACTGGGAAGCTAATACATTTTCCTTAGACCTAGAAACTCTGAGCTGGAGCTGCCCCATTGCAACCAAGCATGGGAGCCAGGAGATAGCTTATCCCTTGAAACCAGATGTCAGGGACAAGAACCACATCCCGCTCCAGAAATTAGGCATTGAACCCTTAGAAATCTAAGAGTCCGAGGGACCAGCAGTTAGCGTAATGGCTATGTCGCTGGACTCCCACGTAGTCGACCGCGGTTCCGTGCCGGACCCGGTGGCTTAAAACTCACGCCAGGTGCGTGTGCGTGCGTGCCCAAGATCCTGAGAGGAGAATGAAAAAGGGATTGCGGCGTGGCTATCCCCTCCTGGGGGGGGCGTGATTTCTCGCTTTCTGTCTCTGTCTGTCTAGCGAGTGCACGCGCCCTATAGCAAAAACCTCTTTAAAAAAAAAAAGAAAGAAAGAAAGAAAAAAAGAAACCTAAGAGTCTGAGCTTGGACCTACTTAAATTTAGGAACTCTTAGAAATCTAAGCACTGGAGCTTGGAACCCAGGTGCCTTCTAGAAACCAGGGATCAGGTTCTTCCTCTAACTGCTTTGGCCAGAACCCCTTAGAAACCAGGTGTGCTGACCCTAGATTACTGGCCTAGCTGCACTCTATTGTTTTTTATTTTCTTTCTCCCTCCTTCCCTCTCTCTCTCTCTCTCTTTTTTAGGTTCTTGCCAGAGGCCCCATACACCCGTCTGAGAGGAGAGACAGTGATAGAGAGAACATGAGATAATCACCCTTCCAAGGGAGGTGGCCACACCGCAATCCCTTCTCTTCCATTCTCTCAGGATTTGGGATATGCACACATGGCCCTGGCATGAGTTTCAAGCCATAGAGGTCTACAACTGGAACTGCAATTGGCCACGTGGGAGTCCAGAGCCTTAACCACTACACCACCTAATGGCCCCAAGCTGCACTCTTGCATAACAAAAGGAAATGCCTTTTTCTGGTCATCGGGCTTAGCCTGTTGAGTCTTCTGTGTGATCATCTCTTCTCTGATTTCTTCCCATAACAGACTCCTCCCATTTAACATTCCCCTCAAATATATGTCACCCCAAGACCAGACTCTCCATTCACTGTATTGAGAGCAATAGCTTCAATTACTTTTTCATGGTATCTCTTCCTTATGCCCTCAGAAATGCACTGATTGTGCACACACACACGCACACACACATCTCACCTGTGCCTAGCCTGGTCAACCTCATTACTTTGGGGATAGGTATTCATAGTGGCCTTTCCCCAGGGACAGTACTAAGCCAGAGCCTGATGTGGATGTTAGGTGTCACCCCTTCTTGCCCCACCTGTTCCTATGGGAGAGAAGGGCAGAGCCAGCCTGCTGTAGTCACAGCACCTAGGGCAGTGTGACCTGAGGCTCGCTGAGCTGGCCCCAGAGATGGCCAGGAGGTGTAGACGTTTGCTAACTGGAGGCTCTGAGCCAACTCTTACTGGAACACACATGCACTGTGGTCTCCAAGCTTTTTGTTTTTTTTTTTTAATTTTTTTTACAAAACTATGTGTCCCAGCCAAACAGGACACTGCAGGCCTTCCCCCAGGCATTATGGCCTGAGGGGGAGGCCCCCATGAATGAGCAGCTGCCAACCCCAGGAGAGCCATCTGCCCCTTTGCACAGGGGCCAGTGTGGGGAAGGATCCAGCTGGAGGCTCTGCCCTGCCTCTCCAGCTGCTGGGAGTGAAGGCCAGGCCCTGGGTCCCTGGTGCTCCAGTACCTGCAAGGAAAAGAGGGAGAAGGGGATCTGAGGGGCAAAAGGCAGGCTAGGGCCGGGGATGGGGCAGGCCAGGGTGCGGGACCACCGTATCTCACGTGAATGCACAACATTATCCAACCACTGAGAAGATGCCAATGAAGACTGCGAGGATGAGGACGGTGACGGACACACAGATGACTATCAAGATTTTCTTCTGTGGGAGAAGAGAGGGGTCAGAGAAAATCATTCAAGGGCATATAAGGCTGGGGCCAGGACTGGGAGGCTCACCTTCCTCGCCTTCTTCTGGTTCTCCAGAGCTATCTTGACATGTTCTTGCCCGCGTTCCACGTAGTCTGCTGAGCTCAGGATATTCTTCTCGATTCGGTTGATCATTTCCCCCTGCATGGAGGAGGGGGTGGTCCAGGGAAGTAAGGGTGATAGGGGTGGGGCCAGCAGCTCTTTTGCTCATGCCAGCCCTATGGACAATAGGACATTCCTGGCAGAAAAAATACCCATGAACAAAGTCAGGGCAGGGGATCTGTGAGGTGGCATGGTGGCTAAGGGCACTGGACTCCCACATGGCCAACTGTGATTCAAGTCCTGGACCTAGCAGCTTGCTTTCCCTCTCTCTCTCTCTGTCCCTCTCTGGAAGGTAAGGCAAGGCAAGAAGGAAGGAAGGAAAAAAGAAAGAAAAGAAAAGGAAGGGAGGAAAAAAAAAAGTCAACAGGGCAGGATCAGATCCAACAAAAGTTCAGACTGCTAAGGATGGCTTCCAGGCTCCCTTGTACCATGTGGGCCTGTTCCTCATTCCGCCTCCATCTATAGTGGTAGCTTAGACCTAAGTCCTCAGATGGCTTGTACCTTCACCAGATGGTAAACTCCTGTCCCCTCACAAATCTGTCTGAATTCCTCTATTCTTCTAGGCCTGTCTCCCAGCTGCTGTGAAGCCCTTCCTAGCCCCGCCTCCTCCTGGCACCACCAGCCCTCAGGTCCCAGTACTCCCACTGAATGAGATCCTGTCTCCATGACTCCCAGCTGCAAAAGGGCTATCACACTACTGAGAGGAGCTCCTCCAGGACAGTACTGGAAGCTTGCCCTACCCCATACAATCAGGATCAGGGGGCACCACCCCCAATCCCAACCTTGTACAGATTTTAGGACACAGGCCCTCTAGGAGGTCACGTGATTAGAGCTCTTAGAGGTAAAAGGGTGGACTCTGAGTGGAGGAGGAACCAGAGTTGGGGCCATACATGGGGCAGGCTCAAGTTGGAAGGGCACGTGGGGTGCTGTATATAAAGGAGTGACCATAGGGTCGCTCCAGAGGTGGTCACAATTCTGGGGATACAGCTAAGGATGGAAGAGCCATTCTGGGAGCACAGCCAAGCCTAGAAAGAGCACAGAAACCTCAAGGAGAGAGTCTAAGGACAGAGGTAAGCTGACAGACACAGCTGGGGGTTCCGATTGAGCACTTCACATCTGAGGACTGCCTGGGGCACTTACCTGCATCTCCACCTCAGTAGCCAGAAAAGTAAAGATCTCATGAAGCTCACGGATACTGCGTTCCAGGTGCTGAATCTCACTGTGCCGGGCCGTGATCTCATTCAAGGCCTGTCGAGTCACTTGTGTGTCCTTCAGTATCTGGGGGGCAGGTGGGAGTTGGGGGAACAGGTTATAGGGAGACAGCAGCAGGTCAGAAGAGTCTGTTAAGCTTCTGTGGCAGCCTTCTGGCCCTGATGAGTGGTACTCTCCTGGGCCTCAGCATGTCCCCCATCAAACAGGGCCAGGGCAGAGAGGATGGGAGGTCCAACTTAGAGGCTGCCTTTGGCCACTCACATTGGACACAAACACTTCACTCTGCCCACTATCCAGCATCTGCTCCAGCTCCTCATCAGACACCATTCCAGCGTTGGCTGTGAAGGAAGAGGCCAGGCTCAGAGCTGGGTCAGCGTCACCTGACCCCAGGGGCTGGGTGCTGCAGCTCACTGATCTTCAGCTGCCTCCGAATCCGCTCCACGTTCTTCTCCCGGTATTCTGACTGCATCGAGTTGCACTTGTTGATGAGCTCCACGAATTGCTGGGACAGGATCCCATGCTAAAGATGGAGAATACAGGCTGAGGCCCTCTGGAGGGATCCCGGCCCAGTTTGGGCCTCAGCATCCTCACAATACAGTGAGAAAACGGCATGAGCTGTTACGAGGTGTTACTGCCTTAGCCACCTTGTGATGACCTTGACAGACTCCCTGATTTCTCTCAGAATACAAGTGAAGGCCCCTGGGCCAGCAGATGGCATGGAGGTTAAGCCACTGGATCCCACATGGCAAGCTGTGCAGTCCTGGACCCAGTGGCTTGAAAGTTATGCCAGATGCACATGTGTGGATGCCCCAAATCCTGAGAGGAGAATGGAGAAGGGATTGCAGTGTGGCCATTCTCCCTGGGGAGTGACTTCTCACCATCCCCACCATCTCTTTGGTGAGGGCACATGCCCTGTAGAACAACAACAAAAACCAAGGCCCTTACCAGAGCCTACATGGCCCTGTATGATCCGCTCCTTCCTGGACATGTCTCCAACCTTACCTCCTTCCACTGTCCCTCCCTCCTCCCTGAACAACGCACATGTCTACCTCAGGCCTCTGCACTCCTGTGCCTTCTGCCTAGACTGCTCTTTCCCCACAAACATAAGTCTTTCTTCAGCTGTCACTTTCTCAACGAAACTTTCTCCACCTTAATTAAGTTGCAACTAACCTTCTCCTGGCACTCTCAATTCCTCTTCCCCTGCTTTTTCCTTAATATTTTCCTATGTTCTAAAATAATTTAGGGCCAGTCCCACAGCCCAGTGGCTAAAGGAGTCATATCCTGCATGACCAATCACAGTTTAAAGAGTCCCAGCCCCAGAGGCTTGAAACACATGCTGGGTGCATGTGCCTGCACACCCTAAATCCTGGCAGTATGGAGAGATTGTGACATGACTATGCCCCACTGGAGAGTGCTTCCTGCCTCTCTCTGGTGAGGGTATATGCCCTTGGACAATAAAAGATAAGTAAAATAATTTACTTGTTTATTATTGTGATAGTCTTCTATACCAGAATGGAAGTTTTTTGAGGACAGGGGTCTTTGGTTCACTTTTGTATCCTCAGTGGCTCAAAAAAGGGTCTGACACCTAGCAGGCACTCCACATGTACCTGCTGACTGATTGCTGAACACCGGGCTTGCTTAGGCCAGAGGTGTGCTAGTGTGCCCCCAGGGTCAACGTGCTGCCCGGGTGTAACAGGTTCCCCTGGCCCTTGGCCTGTCATATCGACGACCACCAGTTTCTCCCTGAAACATCCTCTCTAGGGCATTTTGTGTCATCATGTTCCTTGTCCTGATACCTAAAATAAGCAAATTCCTTGGAGTTTCTTCTTCAGAGACATATCTGCTCTGTTAGATGCCCTTTGAGGGGTTCAGATTACTTCATCTTCAATTGGGGGCTTCGCTAAACTCTGATCCCACCTGCCCTGACCTCCAAAAACCTCAAACCTCTTTTTTTTTTTTTTAAGAGATTTTCGCTATAGGGTGCGTGTGCTCGCCAGACAGAGAGAGACACAGAGACAGAAAGCAAGAAATCACCCCCAGGGGGGATGGTTACGCCACAATCCCTTCTCCTGCATTCTCCTCTCGGGATCTTGGGCACGCACGCACACGCACCCGGCGTGAGTTTTAAGCCACCGGGTCCGGGACGTGAACCGCGGTCGACTACGTGGGAGTCCAGCAACATAGCCATTACGCTAACTGCTGGTTCCCGACCCAAACCACTCTTAAATGGGCACCCAGAGGGGGGCCAGTCAGATCAACACAAATCTCCTTACTAAGATAGCACTCCAGGGAAGTTCCTCTTCCTAACTTCTTGAATTGTGCCACTGTGTGTCCCTGTCACACAGGCAGGAAACCTGCCAGTTATTTCTGACTTCTTCTCCTTCCCTGGGCAGCGCCATTAGCCACCAAGTCCTACATGAGTAATGTCTTTCTTCTCTGTTCAACTCTGACTGCCCATCTTTGCTCTTGGAAAGCATGTCTCCCACAGGTAAGCCCAGGGTATGTCTGGGAACTCAGCAACTTCTCATAGGATGAAGGAGAAGAAAGCAGTCTGTTATAATGGACTGAGTGTTAGGAAATCTGGGTTCTTTTTTTTTTTTTTTCCCCAGTTGCCAGAGGGCACTTGAGCTCACTAGAGAGAGACAAACGTTGGGGGGAGCACCCCATGATGGGGACATAGTCATGTCACAATCCTTTCTCCAGCCTGTTGGGATGTTGGACATGCACACACATGTGCTCAGGGTGTTTTTTAAGAGAGACAGAGAGAGGTGGTCCTGATGCTGCCAGCCTCTGGTAGTTTTCGCCATAGAGTGGGCACCACCATGCCCAGCACTCAGAGTGTTTTTAAGCCACTGGTGCTGGGATCCAAAACCATACAGTCTGCCATGTGGGACCTGGCTTCTTTAACCACTAGGCCATGTGTTGGCCTGAGACCTGGGCTCTTGACTTTAAGTAAGTTCTTTTTCTTTCTGAGCCTCAGTTCCTCTATTTGGAATATCATCAGGTTGGATTCAATAATCTCTAAGGGCCCTTTCTTCACGTGCCCATGCTCCAATGTTTTATTTATTTATTTATTTATTTTGGAGAGATTTTCACTGTAGGGCACGTGTGCTCGCCAGACAGACAGAGACAAAGAGACAGAAAGCGAGAAATCACCCCCTGGGGGGATGGCCACGCTGCAATCCCTTCTCCTACATTCTCCTCTTGGGATCTTGGGCATGTGCGCACACGCGCCTGGTGTGAGTTTTTTTCTTCTTCTTTTTTTTTTTTCTTTTTTTTTTTTTTTGTGAGGTTTTCCATATAGGGCGCGGGCGCCGTAAATAGACAATAGGAATGAGTGAGATTAAAAATCGATATTTTTAGGGCTAGCTCATGCCATGATGCAAAGGTAGCTGGATCCCACATGTGAAGTTTGAATCCTAGATCTGGTGGCTTGAGAAATATACCAGTCACATGTTCATGTGTGCCCCAGATCTCAAAGGGAGGGTGAGATTAAGGAGAAGGGGTTGTGACGTGGCCATCCCCGCTAGGAACTGCTTTCTCATACACCCCTCCATCTCTTTTTGGCCTAGACATGAACACTCTGGAAAAATAAGAAGAAAAACAGATAATTTTCACGTTTTAGGAGATTTTAGGGCAAAATTTATGAATATAAGAGCAAAATATGATTAGATATTATACTTAATTATGCATTAAACTCAGAATATATTGATAATAAGATGATATGGTATTTCTTGTTGTCATTGAACATGTTTTTGTTTTGTTTTTATCTAGTTTTCAATAAGTAGAAAATGTCCTACTATAAATAATAACTTTGATGTGTACATAGTAAAGTTGTGTTATTCAGAAACTAATAATACCTTAGGATCAGCAATGGATTCACTATAGGGCGCGTGCACTTGCCAGACAGACAGAGAGAGACATAGAGACAGAAAGCAAGAAATCACCCCCCAGGGGGGATGATCACGCCACAATCCCTCCCCCCCCATCCTCCTCTCAGGATCTTGAGCACGCACGCACACGCGCCTGGCGTGAGTTTTAAGCCACCAGGTCTGGGACACGAACCACGGTCGACTACATGGGAGTCCAGCGACATAGCTACTACGCTAACTGCTGGTCCCCTCTCTAATGCTTTATTGAAACATCTGCTGGGATGTCCTACTTCTGGGAAAAATAAACCCACCTGGGTTTTTCTCATTCTTGTGTTGACCGAGTTATAATTCTCATCAGCTTCCTCCTTCTGAGGCTCTATGGCTGTGGAAAGACACAAGGGTATGGGGAAGTGTTGACCTGTTGCCAGACGTCTGAATATTGCTTGGGGATCAGGGACACAGGGACAGGGCTCTGTTGCTGTGTCAGTCACACAACAGCAAGGTGCTCATCTCCACAGGATGCTTTAGGGAAATATAATTTATCGTAAAATGACTAATTCTGAGCCTCCGACAAGGAAAAGTTTATTTTTCTTTGTGTTACATCAGTGAGTTCCCATGGGTATACAAAGGCCTCTCCTTTAGGCCCCATTTACTTGCCCAAAGAATGCTGGCTGGGCAGCAAGAATTGTAGGAATAAATGGTTCACTGCAAATAAAAGAATCTAAGAGGCAGGCATGTGCCCTGAAAAGTACAAGGGCCTGGAAGTCAGGAGACAGATTTCAGACGCAGGACCTGCTGTGCGACCTGGATATATCACTGGTCTGTCTGGGCCACACACTCCCCAGATATGTCAGAAACAGGACAGAATCAAGGAAAGGATCTGTCTCAGGTGCTAAGAGCTCACCCTTCAGCTGCGTGCGGATATCCCTTCCCAGCTGTTTGATCTCATCGCGAAGGTTCTGCAGGTCCTGTTTCATGCCTGAAAAAGAGAAGGCAATGACTTCCAAACAGCAGTCCAGTCCCTACCTCAACAAACCACTCAGGCCATCACCTGTGTGGAACTACAACCCCCACAAGCCCCTGGGTGCAGAACGCATGCTCAGCTGCACCCAGGGTTTCACTCACTCTCCTCGGGAAGGGGCGTGGCCAGGATGGTGACCTGCTGCTTCTCCAACTCCCGGACTTTATTCTCCAACTTGGTAATAGTCTGCCGAATTGTACGGACCTGGGGAAGGTGACCGAGAGGGCTGAAAGAGATATGGGGCACTCCAGACCGCGCTGCTCCTCGGGTCCTCCCAATCCTCGCGAATCCAGGCCAAGACCCCCAGCCTCTTACCTTCTGGAAGAACTCATCGTCTGGGCTCCCGAGTCGGGCCGTGCCCGGGTGCACCACTAGCGCGACCCGCTCCTTGTCCTCATCATCCGAGCTGTCATCCCCCTGCCAGGGCCGGAATCATTAGTACCATTTCTTTGCTGGGACTCGCCCCACAGGACCCACAGGCTTCCGGGACTTTCCTTCCTGGCCATCAGCCACTCCTCACGGCTCCGAGGACCAGGAGTCCTGCATACCAACCTCTCCGCCAGCCCCCAGCCTTGCTGCCCCAACTTCTCACCTGCCTCAGCTCGTGGGTCCTGTCCCGCATGGCGGCCCGAGCTCCCTCTCCCCGGCGCCTGAGCCCCGAGGGCCTCAAGATTCTAAGTTTGGAACTCCCGTACCCCACTCACACTCTGACACCCTCGTCCCTCGCCCTGCGAACCCCAACACCCCCACGAGCCGCCAAAGGCTCCGTGCCATGCACCATCCACAGTCAATGGGAAGGAGCCGACCTCGGGGACCCCCCAAGGTTCCACAGGTTGGAATTCCCTTTTCTTCCCCCCCTCCAGCTCCCGAAGCATCAGCCCCGCCCCTCTGGGATGATTCGGAGCATGCGCAAGAGGCTGCGTCTCTTCCTCGCCAGAGGGAAAGGCGGAGGTCGGAAGCTGTAGCGCCCCGAACGGAAGCGAAACCGCTCCCCGGCGCCTGAGCCCCGAGGGCCTCAAGATTCTAAGTTTGGAACTCCCGTACCCCACTCACACTCTGACACCCTCGTCCCTCGCCCTGCGAACCCCAACACCCCCACGAGCCGCCAAAGGCTCCGTGCCATGCACCATCCACAGTCAATGGGAAGGAGCCGACCTCGGGGACCCCCCAAGGTTCCACAGGTTGGAATTCCCTTTTCTTCCCCCCCTCCAGCTCCCGAAGCCTCAGCCCCGCCCCTCTGGGATGATTCGGAGCATGCGCAAGAGGCTGCGTCTCTTCCTCGCCAGAGGGAAAGGCGGAGGTCGGAAGCTGTAGCGCCCCGAACGGAAGCGAAACCGCCTGGCGGTGACAGCCCGCCCCCTTCACCGGAACCGTCTCCTCTTCGAACGGAAATCTAGTTGCCAAAAGGGGTGGGAATGCGTCATCTGTACGTAATCTGAGAGACCCGCGTCTCACATCACCCCATGGTGCCCCCCCGCGTCACGTGACCGAACGAGCCCCCAGCCTCGCGGACCGCAGAACGTGACACTTTAACTGTCACGTGTCCCGGCGCTGTCAACGCCGTCTCTGGGACACCCTGCTCCTCACGACGTCCTGACATCCCGGCGTTCGAGCTACGCTCCCACAGCCCCTGCGAGGTGGGGAGAGGGGCGATGACTACTACCCCCACAGGCCGTTTGAGACCGTGGGTGGTAGGACCCTTGCTGAATTCGCCTTTATGAATTCTGGGTCCAGGGGCGTGGGCAGACTGACGACTTAGAATTCGGGGCTGTCAGCATCATGGGACCTTGAGAGTGGAAAATAATAAGATCCGAGTGTTCAGCGTCAGAGAATTGCAGGGTTTTGTAGGCAGGGAATCTGGGGGTGGGAAGTGACCTCACCCAAGGCAGAAATCTCTGCTCCCGCATCCTCCTGGCGCAGCGTCTGACAGGTGGGCGGCAGGCGCCCTTCTTGAACACCGCAGTCCCGCTGCACTCGCCACCTTCTGAGCAGCGAGACCATTTCGGGGCACATCAGAGGTGGGGGGCGGGGGCGCGGAGGGAGGTGTCTATTACCTTGAGCAAGCTGCTAACCTGCCACTTACACCCCAGCCCCGACTTTGCACCTGAGGTCAGGACGTGACTGTCTAGGTCTTAACTGAATCCCCATTGCCTAGTTCAGTACCTAACACATCATGGGCCCTCAGTATTTGTGGTCATAATTTTCGTCTTTCAGGTATCTGAAGATAAAGCCCATGGCTCCCTGCTCTTCAGGCTTCAGGGTCTTTCCCTGTGACAGTTCCCTCATGTTGACCCTCTAGACATTCATGCATTCTTTTAACAGATAGTTATTTACACTATGGGCCAGGCACTGTTCTAGAGGCTGAAGACACAACAGAGACTCAGAATCTCTGCACTTGTGGAACTTAGCGTTCTATAGGGAGGGTCCCAGTGGTCGTTCAGCCTCAGCATAGCTGGAGTGGGCACCAAGTCTTCTGGATCCCACAGCTTTTCCCAGAGAGCTTACATGAAGATTCAAGCAAAGAAAGAAATGGTCTCTCTCTAGTATGCCTTGATAAAGAGACCTAGGTTCCTGTGACTGAGTTGCTGTGAACTTCTGGAAAATTACTTGTCTCTGCACATTGATCGCTCATCTGTATAATGGGTGACTCCCAACTGTATAATGGGTGACAATCGGGGGACCGGAGACCATCCTTATGGGTATTCTCTGTTCTAAAGTTCAGTGATAATGAGGTTGGAAACTGTCAAATGCCATCAGATTCTACTTGAGAGGCTTTGATTCTTCTCTTCCCTTTAGAACCCAGCTTGCCTGGGGGTTGGGGATAAGGATTAGGATGATGTCACCCTGATCAATCCACAGAACCAGGGTTGGAGGACTTTTTAGGACCCCAAGGCCTGCTGGGACCCCTGGAGATCATAAAGAAGAATTCTCTGCTTTAGGCTCTTCCATATCAGCCTCTGCCTCTGCAGTTAACTGCCACTTGCCTCCCATGCCTCTCCTTGTCTCTGTCATACTCTGTCACTCTGAGTGATACAGTGGCAGAGCTCTTGGACACCTGACTTCGAGTCCTGCATACACGCATGAATAATTCATGGCTTATCTGTGGGACTCAATTTCCCCATTTGACAACTTGGTCTGGCAATTTCTGCCTTCCCTAAGATAAGAATTGGACAGTATCAGGGCCACCAGGTAGCTTAGTGGTTAAGACACTGAACTCCCATGTGGTCGACCCCGGTTAGAGTCTCAGACCCAGTGGCTTGGGACTCGTGCCAGGTCCATGTGTTTATGTGCCCAAAATCCTGAGAGGAAAATAAAGGAGAAAGGATTGCAGTGCTGCCATCTCCCGTGGGGGAGATGTCTCACTTTCTGTCTCTCTGTCTCTCTTTGTCTCTCTGTCTCTTTGTCTCTCTGGTGAGTGCACATACCCTATAGCAAAAATCTCTCAGAAAAAAAAAAAAGTGGACAATATCAAGTGAAGTCAGGAAGGATGTGGAAGGGTCTTGTACACTGTTGAGGATCTCCCTCATCCTTCCCCCAGCCCAGGCTTTCACTGCTGTGAGCTCCTGCTCTCTCTCAGCCCACCAGTCCCGTCTGCCTCTCTGTTTCTCAGCTTCACAGTGACTTGCCTTCTTGGTCCCCAGCTGTGATCTAGAGTTGTTGGTGCCTCTATTAGACTTCTCAGGACTGTGATATTCATTATTTTCTTTGTGACCCATGGGTGAGATCACAGGGTTTGGGATGGAATGGTGTGGAGGGGACTGAGGCCATTTGAAGAGACTGGCTCTGAGGTGGAGGTCTTCAGAGTGGAGTCTTTTCTTCCTCTCGGCCCTCCAAGCAACCCCGATGTGTGTACTAAGTACAGAGGGTTGGGTCTTGGTGTGCAGGTGCTGAGAAGGGTGTATACTTCTTGCAGTCTGAGAAAGTCAGGCTCTACCTGAATCTGATGCTAAGCAACCTGTCCTGTCCCCCTACCTGCAGGACCAGTCCTACCGTCCTACAACACTGGATCTATATTACCTGGGCTGGATCCTAGCTTATTCACCTGGCAGTTCTATGGTACAGGTTACTTAACCTTTCTGTGCCTCACTTTCCATTTGAAAAAAAAAAATAGAAGAAAGAAAAAACAATAGCGTGAAACTCATAGATGTGCTGTAGGATTATTGTGATTATGGATGTAAAGTGACTAGAACAGTGCCTGGTGAAGAATTGTGCTGTGTAAGCGTGTCCTGCTATTCCTTTGAGGATTTGGCAGCCCCAGTGTCTCTGGCAGGGTCTCCATTCTGCTGCTTGTCCAGGGTCTTCCTTCTCCTTTTCATCTCCTGAGCCCCATCTCGCTGGCCCCTAGGCTAGCAGCCTTATCAGCTCCTACACATTTCTTGCCTCGATTTAGATCCAACATACCATATATTTGGCCTTTTTTTTTTAGAGGTTTTTGCTATAGGGCGCGTGCGCTCCCCAGATGCACAGAGAGAGACAGAGACAGAAAGTGAGAAATCACCCTCCGGGGGGATGGCCATGCCACAATCTCTTCTCCTCCATTCTCCTCTTGGGATCTTGGGCACGCACGCACACGCGCCCGGCATGAGTTTAAGCCACCGGGTCCGGGACACGAACTGTGGTCGACTATGTGGGAGTTCAGCAACATAGCCATTATGCTAACTGCTGGTCCCATATTTGGCTTTTCTTTTAAAGCGAGATTTTTGCTATAGGGCATGTGCACTCACTGAGAGACAAAAAACGAATCCCCCCCAAGGGGGATGGCCACACCACAGTCTCTTCTCCTCCATTCTCCTCTCAGAATATTGGGCACGCATGCACATGTGCCTGGTGTGAGTTTTAAGCCACCTGGTCTGGGACTTGAACTGTGGTTGACTATGTGGGAGTCCAGCAGTGTAAACATTATGCCATCTGCTGATCCCTATTTTGCTTATTCTTTAAAAGTATTTATATTTATATCTGTATCTATCTATCTATATTTTTTTTTGGAGAGGTTTTCGCCATAGGGCGCGTGTGCTCGCCAGACAGACAGAGAGAGACATAGAGATAGAAAGTGAGAAATCACCCCCCCGGGGGGATGGTCACGCCGCAATCCCTTCTCCTCCATTCTCCTCCTGGGATCTTGGGCACGCACGCACACGCGCCTGGCGTGAGTTTTAAGCCACCGGGTCCGGGACACAAACCGCAGTCGACTACGTGGGAGTCCAGCGACATAGCCATTACGCTAACTGCTGGTTCCCAAAAGTATTTATATTTTTTATTGTGAAAGACAAAAAGAGAGAGAGATAGCACCTCCAACAGGGTGTGTGTTTGTTCTGTTTTTTTTTTTTTTTTTTTTTTTTTTTTTTTTTTTTTTTTGCTAATTTGTCATGCATGCATTCGTGGTGGGGTGAGGAGAGAGAGAGGGAGAATTGGGAAACACCCTCATGGGGCATGGTCACGCTCCAATCCCTTCTCCTCCATCTTTCCTGTTGGGATTTTGGGCATGCATACACACGTGCAGTGTGTTTTCCAGGCCACTGGGTCCAAGACTTGAACCATGCAGGTAGCCACATGGGATCCAGCCAGCCCTGGACCAAGGGCATGCATATAGATGGGAACCTAGAATCTTCCCATATGAGTCAATCGTACAGAATGTCACATTTTACTGCTGCATCACCATCTAGTCCCCTGCTTATTTATTTTATATATTATCTGTCTTTGCCACCTCTTTCCCACTATCACGTAAGCTCCATGAAGAGAGGGATCTTCATCTACCTTGTTCATTGCCATGTCCCCAACATCTACAATACCTGGCAATAGCTGTTCAATAAATACTCATGAATAGATGAACTTTTAAGAAAAGTCTCTAGAGGGAACCAGCAGTTAGCGTAATGGCTATGTCGCTGGACTCCCACGTAGTCGACCGCAGTTCGCCTCCCGGACCCGGTGGCTTAAAACTCACACCGGGCGTGGGAACCAGCAGTTAGCGTAATGGCTATGTCACTGGACTCCCACGTAGTCGATCGTGGTTCGCGTCCTGGACCCGGTGGCTTAAAACTCACGCCGGGCGCGTGTGCATGCATGCCCAAGATCCCGAGAGGAGAATGGAGGAGAAGGGATTGCAGCATGACCATCCCCCCTGGGGGGTGATTTCTCGCTTTCTGTCTCTAAGTCTCGCTCTGTGCACAAGCCCCCTTAAGAAAAAACCCCTCCAAAA